CAAAGCTTTGCTCATTGTGTGATGTGGAAAAGTATGGCATTGACAGAGATGCTTAAGATAAGGGTTTTTTTAATTTGTCTCTGCTTTTAGTGGTTGTTCAAAGGATTCAAATGCAGAAATAATCAAATGTAACTAGATGATGAAAAGGAAGACTTATTTAAAATTTGCAACTGCAAGAAACCCAGTGGATAACAGTAAAAACAGGAAAAAAACCAAATTGGACAGGAAGGCAACTTCACACTCATGTATAGTTACTGTTTTCTTTACTGAAAGCTTCTCACAGATTTGGATTTGGCCTTTGATTTAGCTGTGGACTGTACTGTTAAGAGATGGTAAATGCATCCATCCCTTTGCTTCTCTTGCAAATCTTTTACAAGGTGCAAGCAAGAAAATATTGCCTAATAACCAGACATATGTCCCATGTTTAAATCTTTTTTTTAAATTTTTTTTTTAAAGAGAGCTTAATTTCTGTGGATTATTCTTAATATGTGAGAAAATTGTTACCTGTACTCTAGGAAGTGAAAAGAGTTTCATGTTTTAGCTGATTGGCAGACAAAAAAAAAAAAAAAGAATCCTGATGCTTTCCAAATTGATCTTCCCCCGTTCCAAATCTTGCCTCTTCCTCCACAAGTGTTCCTACTGTGGAGCCATGGCAAGTCTGTTCTGCAGAAATGACACATCCCAGGTTTTTCCTATAGGATGTGTGCTCACTGGAGCTCAGGTCTTGAAGAGTGGGGTTACTTTTTCTGGGAAATGAAGGTGAGATGGCCATGGGAGATACGGCTTGTTGCTAGAACCCCACAATAAAGGACATGAAAAGCAGTATCTGTTATTGTCTCATCTAATTAAACTTTCTCTCACACATTTCTTTCATGTAACTCCTATTTCTTCTTCAAACTTGTGTTCTAAACTGATAGAATTTCTAATCCCTTCTTGCAAAAGATGTTGCTGTTACACGTCATCAGTGACACCGTTTTGTCAGCAATCCGCATAGCAGAGCAGCGAAGCTCTTGTGCTTTTCAGGTGATGGCAGTAGCTTAAAAAAAAGCAGAATCTACAGTGAGAGGTGGCTTTGTGCAAAGAAGACAAGAGTTTTTCTTGGATGCAAGAAAAAAGTGAGGATGCTGACCAGTGTGTTACTGATGCTAAATACTACCAAGGTAATCTGGGACTTGCTCTTCCATTTTGCTGGTGTCTGCACTTGCAGCTCTCCCTGCCTGCAGAAAGCCAGCCCAGCTTTCTAGCGTGAGCAGAGATTTCTTAATTTGGTCCTGACAGCATCTTCAATACTTACTTGGGTTTTAATTTATTTCCCAAGCCAAAGTGCTGTCAAACCAGAATCCACGTAACTCTGAGATGCCACACAGTTATACTGCCCTTCTTCTCTTGCTGCATTTAAGGCTGCTGTTAGTGTGTTGCAAGTGAGCGTAGGTCCCAAAAGACTTGAGGAGACCACAGATCATCTCAAACTTGCTTTATGAAACGAAGCCTGATTATATACCCAGAATCAGAATGAGCATGTCCCATTAGCCTGTGCTTTTCTTTGGCTGTGAAGGCTGCAAGAAATGTTCAGTAACTTCTGAAGCATAATCGAAGCCACATCAATATCTGGCAAAAAAAAATGTCAGTAGTCATGACTTGCAGGCAACAGATGTTGAGATTTCTTTTTCAGTGATAGATAGATGTTTTTTTCAGTGGCCAGTTTAATGGTTGATCTGTCTTTCTTGTATTGAGGAATCATTTGTATTAAAAATCTGATGTTCAGATTCCCACAGTCATGCTGATAAAACCACAGAAATTTTTGATCAGAATTTTCAACTCTATTTAAAAAATAAAAAATAAAAAATGAAGTGTTGCTGGTAATTGATTTGGAGAGATTAATTTGTGAGGAAGAGAGTGACTGGAAAGCAATAACAAGATCATGATAGCATAAGATCTATTTTTTTAAACATCTGCCTTATGTTTCTAGAAAATGAAACTAAATAATAGACCTGAATGAAAGGATGACACTTTTTAAAATTTCCACTTTAATTTCCATCTGCATTTCCAATCCTTTAATTAATGATTTTGAAACTTTACATGTATGCAATATAGAAAGTTATTCCTTTGTTCTTTGGAATGAAATTGTGTGTACATTCCACTTGTTGGGAAAATAAAGCTCATTAAAAGACTTGATATAATTACAGTACCTTAGAACGGGCACATTAAGGATAGTAGGATTAGCAGGCAAAAGACAAGCATATTACTTTCATGAAGTTTTGCTAACTTTCTCTTCATTGAACTCTGATATAAGTTAATTTAGGAGATAATCAAAGTGCATCTTTTGCAAGTGCCTTTTTAAGTTGAACAATGAAGGAAGATTCAAAATTGTGAGTCACTGATTATTTTAATGTTACCAACCTGAAAATCACATTTCTTTCTTCTCAAAAATTCTTACAAGTAATTTTTTTTTTTTTTTGAGTCAATGACAGATCCCTGATTTGAGGGTATAACTTGATATATTAGCAGTGTGCAGGCTAACTACATCAAAGACTGGTGTCCAGAAGCAGTAACGTATTGACTTGAGAGAGGACCAATTCCATATTTAGAATAGAAGGGGAACTCCACTTGCTTTCTAATAGTTGCTTTCATAAATGTAAACCAAAATGTCCTCCTTTTACTTTTTCTGGTTTTTGCATGTTCAGTCTTCTTCACATATACAGGAAGACAAAATAAATGCATGTACCATATAGAAGAAAAATCTTACAGAAAACTATGAAATGCAAAATTTTGTGTGGTACATCTTTCTTGTCTAATTACACAAATTAAGGAGAAAAAATAGTTTTAAAGGTCAGTGGTTTGTGGAACATGTCCAAAGGAAAAGGAGTGAAAAAAATTTTGAAATCTCAATTAACTTATCATCATGACAGCTTTTTTCATTGTGCATATTTCTGTTACTTCTTGCAGAAGAAGGAAGTACTCTTTTGTAATTTTGTCTGGAGGGACTGCAAAAGATGCATTCATGGAATGCACTGGAGCTTACTGAACCTACCAGGTCATCTATGGAAGAGGTTCAGTCCGTGCAAGTCACAGAATATTATGTATGTAGAGGTAGAGTACTTGAACTGCATCATTGTTTGATATCTTGTGATAGATATGAACCATCAGCCAACTGCACCTTTTTATCCAACCCTTCCATAAGAAATTTATGGCTTTTTATTGTTATATGCAAGTATTTTAGCATCTAAGTGAAAATATATCCTCCAATATATCCTCCATTAAATTGAGGCAATTCACACTGTGCAGGGTATTGATGTGTATTTTATGACTTTATGGCAAGCACAGAGCTTTTCTCAAGAATTGAGTATTTTGCAGTGGTTCCTTTGCAAGATGAAAGGCAAAGTGATTCAGATATTTCAACAGCCCTGTTGCCACTTATTCTGATCCTTCAAATAAAGATGAAGCATCAAGTCACCGCAGTTTGGAGATGTGCATGTAAGCTAACTCCTTGTTAAACCAGCTGCTGAGATTTTAAAATCTCAGTCCAAATCCAGTCATGTAAAGCACTAGGCATCCAAATGTCCTGGACACACTTGTCTGTAGTAGTCTGTTGTGTCCTCTTCTGCCCTATGCCAGTCAAATTCTTCAAGCCTAAAGAAGTGTCCATTGCAAACCCCAGTGAAAGTACCTTTCTCTCATGTCCTTTTCATTTTAAACATTTCCAGCATCCATTGTCCAAAAACTGGCAGCTTTGTCTATTTTCCAAAAGCACCAAAGTGGGGATGCCTGCACTGAAAAAACGTTACTTTTTTCTTCAAGTCTTGTCTTGCTTTTCTATGGGTGTTAATAAACAGTGGAAGTCCCTGTTTTGTGTAAAACCCTAGGAGCAGGAGTAGCACCCAGCAGTGAGCATAACTTTGCCTTATTTCATATTTGCCTCTCTATACTTGAAAGTGTAAAACATCTTGTTTTAAAAACAGAAAAATGAAGACATATTACAATTGCATAATCTAACTTTTTTTTTTTTTTTTGCATTCTGCACATTAATTTCTTCACTTTCCCTCCTTAATAAGTATTCTATTTCTGCAGGAACCATTCTCAGTATTAGATCTGAGCGCTACAGAGTCCTGCAAATGCTTTGCTCTATAGCAATCCCTATGGAGCTTTAACTAGGACCTCAAAGTTGTCTGTCTACTTTCTGCAGCAGATGGGCACATAGAGAAGAAAGCATATATTCCAGGAAGCAAGTTTGTATTACTCTGTTGATTAGGAATATCTGAATACTAATTTGGTTTGCATTATAGATGACCTTGGTGAGAGTAAAGTGATGCACAAATTGAACTGTGCAACTGGTTGCTAGCTGTTTGCGTGCTCTATTTTTGCCTACCATCTTTCAAGCATTTCCCTTGTAAAATGGGACTGCTATAGTCTTTAAGGAGTTGGAGTACTTCTTGGTGAGCTTTGTTACCGAGAAGCATTAGTGAACTCCTGCATCTTTGACAGGATACATATATTCTGTCTGGGTACTGCTGTTAAGTAAGGGGCGACATCTATGCAGGCTAAGGCACTGCTCATTAGGACTTCCTGTACTGCAGTATGGAGTTCCAGCAAAGCTTCAAGAGAGTGGGACTTTCCTCTGTGTGTCTTTGTTTTCAAACCTTCCTGAAAAAAGTGATCTTACATGAAGATGACAGCTTAGGTGAATGCACAAGAACATTTTATTAATGTTATAAAGGAGCTTCAGCCTGAATAAATCCACATAAGTTTTGCTATATATGTCATAAAATATTTTACTACCATAGTATTCTAGTGTTCTAGCTGGTGACCAGTTCTCTTTAAAGCAGAGGCAGTCTTGCAAAACTCCAGTTTTGTCTGGATTCCTTATATTGCACATTGATAGGTATGTGCTGATATATTAACTCTACCTTCATATGGATTTTATGGATGTATTGTATATGTGTAATCTGCACTGTCTAGATGGTGCTTTTGCATTACCTGCCATCCTTTCTCTTGATTTCCAGGCTATCCGATGCACTCTCGTGAGCTGTAGTTGTCAGTGTTTCAAACCTGGGAAAATAAATCAGCGACAATGTGACCAATGCCGGCATGGATGGGTAGCACATGGTAATATTTGTTCTTACAATCTATATAAAACCTTTTAGGATCCTCCTCACTATCGCATGCTTTTTGTGTCACACCTCCCCCTCCCACACCCCAATATTAGTTACATTCAGCTTTGTCTATCTCTTGTGACTCAAGTTTATTTACATCTTGCGATTTTATTTTCAGCCTTGAGCAAATTAAGGATTCCCAACCTCTACCCATCAAGCCAGGTAGAAATAGTCCAATCCAATGTTGTCTTTGATATCAGTAGCCTCATGTTGTATGGAACCCAAGCCATTCCTGTGCGCCTTAAAATTCTACTAGATCGGCTTTTCAGTGTTCTGAAGCAGGAAGAGGTGATACAGATTCTCCATGCCTTGGATTGGACGCTCCAGGATTATATACGTGGATATGTGCTACAGGTATTTAGAGGGACTTTTAAAATATAAATATGATAGCTAAGTAATATTTCATGATGTTTTCTAGCTTAATCTTATCAGTAGTTCACAATGCAATCACAATGTGGTACATCTGAAAGGCAGTAATAGACTTGTACAAGCTTAGCACCAGAAAAGAAAGGGTGGATTTTTGGTCATTGCTCTCTTTTTAGTCAGACTTAACTGAAATCTTCCTACTTTGCTCAAAACTATCAACAAAGGTAAGCCAAGATGAAAAGGAAAAGTTACTGAGAATGTGTCAAAGTAAAGGCTTCAGAATGTGGTCTAGTATTATATAAACAGTGAGTTTACTTTTAAACAGCAGAACAATACGTTGACAAATAAACTTGTCATCTAAACACCAGGGGCAATATTCATCTCTGGTGTAGTGCTACTGACCTTACTGGAGCTACATCAAGGATGAATTTGGACCTATGTGCTTACACTGATGCTAGTCTTTGCTACTGTGGAAGTTACCTTTTATGTAAAGTAACATTATGATCTTACATTATGACACAAATCAATATTTAATGGTCTTGATAATCTTGCTTTTTAGTGTTAGGATTAAAAATATGGAATCAATTACCTTGAACCTCTACCACATGAAAAATTTATAATGTTACGTTCTTCATCATCTTAGAAACTCTTACATGCACTGTGAAAAGTCTCAGTAGGCCATCAAATACATGTTCTGTGATAAAATATTTATTGTAGTTATTGGGAAAAGTTAGGCATAGCTAGAGTTTGAAAGAACTCTAACACTCTAGTGTAATTACAGCTGTGCTCTGTGAACACTGGCAATGGATCGATACAGGTTCATTTGTTCTCTGATCTTAGTTGCTTGGAAGATTATTAAACTTGCAATGAAAGAATACTTGACTTAAATGAGGAGCTAAATCTTGGTCTGATTGCTCCATCTCTGCTGTCTGTACTTACATGGTACTAACTGTTGTTCAAATGACGTGTCTTAATTTTTGTGGAAAAAAACAGTTTATTGGAAAGTATTGCTGTCAGTTCAGAAAGAAATAATATCACCAATGATAAATTTTGGAAGAAAGTATCACAGAATTGGCATTAATCTCTCATTAAGTAGAATGATTTTATCGTTTAGCTAGAGAAGAATTTTTAGTCCCTGAAAAAATTAGAGATGTGGGAGGAGGGATTTTTTTTTTTTTTTTGCCTTAACTAATGTCTGACTTATTTAAATATTTTTGGCTTTAGGATGCTTCAGGAAAGGTGCTGGACCACTGGAGCATAATGACCACAGAAGAAGAACTGGCTACTTTGCAGCAGTTTCTTCGTTTTGGAGAAACTAAGTCCATTGTAGAGTTAATGGCAATTCAAGAGAAAGAAGGGCAATCAATTATAATACCACCACCAACTGCCAATTTGGATATTAGGGCATTCATTGAGAGCTGCAATCAACACAGTCCTAATTTTTCTGCTTCCTTGGACAAGATGAGTCCCACCAACATTCATCCCTTTGAGAATATTGTAAATAACATGGCGTTCATGCTGCCATTTCAGTTTTTCAGTCCAGTGCCTCCACCTTTGATAGGTTCACCACCAGAAAGACATTTGATTGAGCAAGGTCAAGACCATGGCATTGAAACTAAACAAGATGTTCAGATACCATTTTCTGAAAGCAGCTTCTTAACTTCTAGTTCTGCACCATTTCAAATTGAAAATGAGAGGAGCATAAATGGTCCAGATGTCACCACTAAAACAGAAGATGATGCCCTTTTAAGTGATTCCAGTTCACATAATACAGCAGCAAAGCTTGAAATGACAGCGCTATCTCCAGAACACAAAATGAAATCTGTTGAAAAAAATGGCGCTGGGCCAAGGAAAGGGCGTGTTTTCTGCACTGCATGTGAAAAGACATTTTATGACAAAGGTACTTTGAAAATACATTACAATGCTGTTCATCTGAAGATAAAGCACAAATGCACAATTGAGGGCTGCAATATGGTATTTAGCTCTCTGCGTAGTCGAAATCGTCACAGTGCAAATCCCAACCCCAGACTCCATATGCCAATGAACAGAAATAACAGAGATAAAGATCTAAGGAATGGTTTGACCATTGCTGGACCTGGAGATAGTAAAAGGACAGAATTTACAATTTTAACTCCGGATAGCAGAACCATTACCAGCTATGCCAGCTCTTGTACCGATTCAAAGGGTCAGGTTGGATTTCCCAGTATTGGACAGAACGGTGTCCTCTTTCCAAACCTCAAGACAGTACAGCCTGTTCTTCCTTTTTATCGTAGTCCAGTCACACCAGCCGAGCTTGCTAATACTCCAGGTACTCTTCCTTCTCTGCCTCTTGTTTCTTCCTCAATACCAGAGCAGCTTGTTTCAACTGAATTGCCATTTGACATGCTACCCAAGAAGAAATCTCGTAAGTCGAGTATGCCTATTAAGATAGAGAAAGAAGCTGTTGAGACACCTAATGAAAGTAGTGATGTTGCCAGTTCTGAAGATGATACACGTCTGCAAGTGGTAAGCGATGGCGAGCTTGAGACCTGTGAGCATAAGATAGAGAAGCAGGTGACCGACGGGGTGGAAAAGCACCCCCATTCAGGTAATTCATGGAAATCTGTCTCTGGGGTAGAGGGCCCAAAGTATTTTGAATCTGTCTTTGCGACAAATAACAAATACATCGAGGATATCTCTGAGAATGAATTGCATCACTGTGAGAAAGAGGTTAAACCAGAAGAAAACCAACCATTAAAAATAGTATCCCATGAGATTATATATGAAGATCCAAAACACCACCACAATGATGTTATAAAACCAATGACTGAACCCCCCATGTATATTAAAGAGCAGTCAAAGCGCAGGATTCCTAAAAATGACTGCCCTGAATTGCAACACCACTTGCTGACCGGGGGCTTTTTCAGCGCTTTGTCAAACAGGGGTGCTGCCATTCCTTGTTTTGAAGACTCTAAAGATATGGATCATGTCAGTCAACATGCACTAGGGATTCAGAAGGAAGAAAGCCGCTTTCATTGTGACATCTGTAAGAAGACTTTTAAAAACCCTTACAGTGTAAAAATGCATTTTAAAAATGTGCATCTCAAAGAAATGCATATTTGCACAGTTGAGGGCTGTAATGCTGCTTTCCCTTCTCGTAGAAGTCGAGACAGGTAAGAAAATTCTAAACAAAATTGTATTTATTTTACCATCACAATGGAGCCTAATTTGAAATGAAAATGAGTGTTTGAGGAGTGGAGCCTGCAAAGATTTTCTGTGTATCCTCGTATAACAGGTACGATAACTTATCAGAGCATTCATGAAATGAAAATCCATTGAAAGAAACATTTCCTTTCCACTAGACTACGAGGTATTAAATAAAGCCATGAAAATTTCATAACTGATAAAGACTGCAATAGTTGAAAGAATACTTAAGAACATAAAGGAAAAGCCACAAGGGTATGAATTCAGCAATTTTCCAGTAGGTGCATGTGTGGACTTATATGTTTAATATGTACTTTCATGTGTATTTTAATGTATACAGTGTTCTTTAATGAAAAAGCAATGAGATCAATTCAGGAAATCTTCACTTGCCCTCGTCCTTGCTTTACTCGAGGATTTTGAACAGACTGGTGGGAAAAAAGCCCATAGGAAAAGCAAGATTGCTCTGTGTCAGTACAAAATTAACATGGCATAGCGCTAGCCACATTGGTCGTGCTTTTATGTGAGATTACATATTAATTCCTGGGCTGTATCATGAGCTCGATTCAGTTTACTGTTAGCTGCAATATTGTGTTGCTGTAAATCGTTTTATTTCAGCCTATTATGCACATAGGCTGAGAGACAAGAACTGAAGCTTTATTGTTGACCATCAGTTACGTATCAGAATTGGTAAGCGATAGATAACAAACCTGTTAAAGAGCAAGGATGTGTTGTAAATTTTCCAACTCTCCTATAACAATGTTACAGCAGCTTTTGGCTGCAGGAAGCATGCCTGGATAGTACTTCAGAGTGACACAAGGTTTAGATTGTCTGTAATCTGCTAGAGCACTGGAGCCAGCTGATGCAGTCCAGAGAGAGGATGAGCCAGTCTCTGAGGACTGACCATTGCATCTGAGGTGCGCAGATTCATCTGCTGCTGGCAGGGCTTCACGCCCCGATCTGCTGCCTGCATCTTCCCAGATGTGAATTCCTCTCCGCTGTAATTGTGATATGGGCCACAGGAAAGGCAGCCAGCAGTAAGATTTGCATTCACATGCTACAAATTCCTTCCCACACCAGTGTATTCAGTTAAGTTTTAAGATAGGTGCTTTTGGAAGATGATTTCTTAAAAAAAAAAAAAAAGCCAACTCAGAAGAGAGTTCACAAGCTTTGTGCAAAACAGTAGTTACTTGGAACAAATTTGCAGAAATTTCTGGACTTTAATGTAGAGTGCTGTGGCAGCAAGTACAAAATATTTCTGTGCCCTTTTGAACAGTTCATGGTTTGGATTAAACCATGATAGCAGGGGAAAAATGAATGTTTTCCCTGTCTTGCAATAAACTGAATCTTCTAGCCAGAGTCTGGAAGTTCCCAGTGAGCTGATTGATAGTATTCAATGAGGAGCAGTGATTCTGTATGTTTCAGTGGTTTTAAACTGAATCTGGAGATGCCCATTTGAAAACTGCAAATTGCATAAAATGCAATATTCCTTCCTTCAAGGAAATTCCTGTCAAGGAAAAGCTCTGTACTCATGTGTACAGCTGCATCCTGACACGTGGTTACAGTACTTGAGTTCTTCAATATTTTTTTGAAGACCCAGGTGTCACTCCTTTCCTGCTTTGTCCACTGGGAAAGAATCTTACTTCTTCCACCCCTCAGTCCATTCTCTGATCTCAGTTCAGTATACAAGTTTTTAGCCGGTCTCTCAATTCTTCTAGGCCCAGCACTAGATCTAGTGGAGCAGACAGCTATGCACCATGCAGGAGAGAATCTGAAACATTGATTTCTGTAGAGTTATTTCTGATATATGCCATTGCAGGCAAGTTCAGATATCCTGTCACATGTGTAAATCATCTGTGTATACTCCCAGTTGGTCAAATCAGAAGTATACAGTTCATGCATGCTACTAAATATTGATTTTTTTTTTCTTTGTTAATGATCATTATGAAACAGCTCTTAAGTGAGGCGAAACACTTTCTTGCTAAGCTTGTCTTTGTTCTTCTAGACATAGTTCAAACCTAAATCTTCATCATAAGCTTCTGACTAAAGATACACTGGATTTCAACAACCATTTCAATGCAACATACCTCTTGAAAGACATGGCTAAGGAGTTTTGTCAAGATGTGTCTTTAAAACAACATGTTGGACATACTTCTGTAATCTTCAAAGGAATGAACAGAACAGGCAGCTTGGTTTTTCCAATGAGCAAAATTAGAGAGCCCTGTTCTGAGAGTTATGGATACGATCCATTGAATGATGGAGCTGTTCTGGACCTAAGCACTACTTCCAGCATTAAATCTGAGAGCAGTGCTCATTCTTCTTGGGATTCTGATGGAGGAAGTGAAATATGCACCATGCCCTTGGATGATAGTGATGAAAGCTGTGAAGGATCCAGCCTAATGCCCAATGATGAACTCTACCAAGACTGTACTTTAATTGAGAAAGCTAATCAAAACTTTACAAATTTACCTTCCAGTTTGCCAATAACTTGTCATATATGTCAAAAAATTTACAGTAATAAAGGAACTTTCAGGGCTCATTACAAAACTGTGCATCTCCGCCAGCTCCACAAATGTAAAGTCCCAGGTTGCAACACAATGTTTTCATCTGTTCGCAGTCGGAACAGGCACAGTCAAAACCCTAATCTGCACAAAAGTCTGGCTGAGTCACCAACTAGCCTACAGTGAGATCCTGCTGATCTCTAATTTCTGCTAAGAATTAATCATTTCAGTTAAGGAATGTGTTAACATTAGTTTTATTTAAACTCGTTTGACTTCTAGCCCGTTCAACAGCCACGGTCGAATTCTTTTCTCCTGTGTGTGTTCTCTAGCAGTTTCATTTAGCAAAGCTTGGTGCTGTAGTTTTTGTGCAATGTTTTGGTTTGATGTTAAAGAGCTAAAGCTCTGTAAGGAAAAGAAAGCGTCTTAGAAATGGGGGAAATATGGAGACATTAACTAAAGTATTTCTGATACCTGTGAAGTATTACTTGCCAACAACAGGAGCTTCAAATGAGAACCATCATCCCTTGTGTTTACATGTTAAAAGAGTTATTGTGTCATGTAAGAAATGAGTAACAATTGGGGTGAGTTTCCTCTGGCTGGGTTGAGAATTTTGGGGCTACCATTTCGTTCCTGAGACCATAGTCTGAAGCTGACTTGCAGTATTAGTTGAACGTGGTATTTGCAGTTTACTGTATCCCAAAATCCAAAAGGTAAAATACAAATTTGGGAAGACTTTGCATACAGTCAAAATCTTCTGAAAATCACACAGTTCTTACTCTTTAAGTTGGCATTTCACTTGAATAAAGATTGCAGTATTTTGGCTTTCTTAGAATTTAATACCATTTGCTTTGCAAAAGGGGGTACTACCTAACTTGGCAGGGTTGCCTGAATAAATCTGAGACATTTCCATAAATTGTAGTGATAGAATGAATAGCTTAAACTGAAATTTCTGAACCACAGCAAATGCATCCATAAAATAGGGGGTGGGGAGTAAACCCTTTATTTTAAAATGCACTTTTGAGTTCCACTTTCAGGAAGAGAAAAGTTTTTGTTAAAAATAGGAGGGGGAGGGGATGAGGAAAAAAACCCCAACCAAATATCCAAACTGCTTAAGAGTTTGAAGGTGCAATTCTAAGCCTTCGAGAGCCAGAGATAAAATGGATGCAGTAAACATCTTTCATGATTCAGCAGTTACTGTTTCTCTTACTGGTGGGGGGTGGTGGGGAGGACACGTGTCAATCTTTGTAATAATAGCAAATAACAGCAGAATGCTGATTCTCATTCACACCTTTTTTTTATGAGAACACTGTTCAATATCTGTTACAATGTTTAATATCTTTGTATTTGTTCCTGTAATTAACAGTATTCTGCATTATGTTCTATGCACTTAAGAAGACTGGTCTTGCATTGTATTTAAAAAACACTTTAATATTTAATTTGTAGCCACATCATACAAATGCTGCGTGTGTACTTGTGATGCATCTCCTTTGACTGAATCATTTCTAAAAAGAAAAAGAAGAAAACAAGTCTTACAGTACCTTTTTTTTTTCTTTAATTCACCAGTTGAAATCTGTTGATCAATTCTAGTATGCAAGCATGATATTGACAGCACAATCTGTACATATTATACCAAAGTGCTTACAGTATTTGTGGTTTCTAGAACTTAGTCTAGTTTTCCAGTAAAACTGGATCTTAGTTTTATTCATTTTTGTGATTGAATAAAAATAGACTGAATTTCTGGATTTCATATATATGTAGAAAGAATAGTACAATGCTATTGCCATACGTCTTGATGTTTAACTTATTCTAAAATATACTATGGTATTGTAACCATTTCATATTGTATAAAGGAAACAAAAGTGGACTGAATATTTCACTAATTTTTTTGAAAACTGGTTTGTGTGTGAGTATGGGTTATGCAGGGAAAAAACGTGACACAGTTGTAAATGTTTGTGCTCACTAGAAATGGTTTCCATGCATTGTGTAAAGTAATCTTCTATTTTTTTAATTTACAGTAGGTTTATGTGATATTTAAAATAATCCATTTGTGCTTGAAGGTAACAGGAAAAATTATTAGCCTGGGGAAAATTGTGCCATTGCTTTGAGTTTTTGTGTTTTGGGGTGGTTGGTGTTCTGGGTTTTTTGGGGGGAGCTGGGTAGTGTTTGTTGGTTTTTTTGTTGTTTGGTTTTTTTTTAATGGGAAGTCATATCAGTGGGGATCATGGTTTGAAAGGTAAGGGCACAACCATAGGAGACACAATTGCTCCCAGCCTTTTGATAGTATGAATTGATGATTTGTTATCATTATTTCAAGTTCTTTTTTTTTTTTTTAATATCTATATATACACCAATTTGTTTAATCATAAACAGTGGGTTTTTTGAAACAGTGTGATGTAAAAAAAATGCTGTAATGCCCATTAATTTAGCTTTCACTGTGTCCAAAAAGGAAACACATTTGTATACCCTAACAATTTTGTATGTGTTAATAAAAAAAAATAACAATGCCTCTGGTTGATTCAGAAAAGTAGGTTTATGTGATTGAAAAAAAACTACTAGTCTTCATTTTCATTTAAAAAAAAATATATCTGAAAAGACATTTCATCTGTAGAGAGCACTGTTTTGACAATGGTACTCACTTATTCCATAATAAGGAAGTGTCGTTATTTTAACAAGCCATTAGAAATAATGTAGTAAATGTTGCCAGATATTTTATTGATTTTGTATTTTGTGCAGTAGGAAAGCGTAGAGATTAGTTTAACTGCCATCAACTAAACAGCAGGTAAATATCTCATAATTGAGAACTGTGGGGGAGAAAAAAAAAAGATATTTAGGGCCTTATTTATACATTATATTTTGGAAAGGTTTTTTTGTTATTTCTCCAAAATCTGGTCAGGGTGGGAGATTTATCAGTATTGGCTAAGCCCTTAGTACCTCTGGTACAGCATCTGTATCTCATGAAGCATTTGTGTAGCTCCCTCCTCCTCATGACCACAGTGTGGCTCGACCAAGCCTCAACATCTCCTGTTAGTTTTAAATACGTGTGATGCTTATAGTGGCCTGTATCACATATTCACCACAGATGTTGAAGGAAGTAACCTCACTTCAGAATAGTAGTATCATCATTTTTGAGCTTTTTCAGAGTCGGACTGGAAAGCCGAAGCAGCTTCCACTGACTGAGACTCAGTTCCAGGGATGTTTTCATCTGTGATGCTGCGAGTATGTACAGCTGGAGAATCAAATCTTTGCATGAGATTTGAACTGGGCCTGGACGTGCCTACCCAAGTACGTTGCTCCATTTTTTTTTCATTTGTTTTGTTTTGTTTTTTTCCCCTTAGAAAACAAGAACCTCAAAAACTAGATCCTGTCATCTTTCTGTGACTCCAAAGAAGGCACAGATGCACACTGCGGGGTAGCCACTCTGTACACTTCAGCATCTGATTTCTCAGAATACAGGTATTTTGAATAGTTCTTGAGAGCGAGCCTGTATCGCCATGGAACAGTGAGTGTCCTAGTGCTTACAGGAGTATTTGCAGAAATCTGTTTTGAATGGAGCATAAGGAATCTGTTTTTATAGCTCCAGTTTTCTAAGTACTTTGAAAAGAACTGCAGCAAAACCAGAGGCTATTGTTTCTGATGAATCTTTAGTGAAGTTATACGCTGTAAAACCCAGCAGAGTGGAGAAACGAGTTCTGAAAATACCTGTCTGATGCCCTGCATTGAATAGGGAAATATAAAAAACGGCTAAACTACTTGGACTTAGTCCAGGCATTTTTAAATAGGGTGCGAGGTCCTCCTTGAAGAGGGTTCACAAGCAGCTTCTGATTAATCAGCAAGCATAAGTTTAAGAAACGCAGCTAAACTAAAACCACTTTTGGAGTTTGAGATACAGCCCATAAGGATTCCATTCAGCCTCCAAGTGCGCATTCATTTCCAAACTGAAATGAGAGTTTGACTCTGAATTGGAAAGGAGACAACAGGGCAATAAGAGAAGGAAGACTGGATCAAAGAGGTTCTGTAGAGAAAGCCAGGCTACAGGTTTTGTTCACAGCAGCATTTACTGCCAGTGCCCCCCCGGTCTGAGGGGAGGGCAAGACAATATAAGTAAGGTTTGGTAAGATTTGAAGTTGGATTAAGTATGCATTAGCGTGACCAAGTCAGCTTTGAATCACTTGGAAAACTTTTGGAAAACTCTTGAACAGTTTGCTGGCTAGTGAGATTTCCACATAACCTCAGCAAGCATGTTTCTGAAGGTAGACTGGCTTTTAATTTCCCCTTGCCTTCACCCCCCACCCCCTGGCTCCCCATGCCTTTTGGCACTCCTTGGGTTACGCAGAGTTGCTAACTTGCAAATGTACTGTTGAAACATCACCCTGTTACCTTCTAGCACTGTCAGCTCCATTCTCTGTAAGCACCCGTCAGCTTTCATATGTGTTCTATAAATGGGTAAAGGAAAGGTAATGCCCTGAAGTGACAGTCCCTCTCTGGTGAGCAGAGGTCCTTCATCTGTTTCTGCCCTGGTTTAGAACTTCATAGAGCACCTGTAGCCCTCTGTACTGTGTCTCTCTAGCTCTTATCCTAAACTGGTAAAACTGACTGTGACTGACTTGCCATTATTGCCTGCAGATGCATGTGTTTAATAGTATACATAGTATAATTGCATGTGCATAGGGCTGCATATTCATGTTGAACCTAATTCCACTCATTTATGGTAATAGAAGTTGGGAATAATTTCAATGAATTCAGTAGAATAGGGTATATAATGCTGGAGTCATGTCTCAACAAGGATCGTAACTTACATGTGTGAGTACACAGGCTCATGTGGGCTGCTTGTACTGCTTTGTAATTGCCAGCTCACCGAAGCAGGTCAAAATATCGTACTTGGAAAGCACAAATAAGTTTTACTGATTTGTGTGCCCCCGTCTACGCTATAAATGACTAGTTTGCTGCTATATTTCTACATGACCAAGGTAACAACTGTCCTATAAAAGTATTATCTTTGCTGGTAAGATAGCAATGGACGCATCCCTTGTAGATGTAAAACACGAAGTCTGAGTGAGCTCTGCCAGTTTAGGCAAGTTCAAAATCTGGACAGATACACCGTATGACATTCAGACAGTCTCCAGCCAAAAAATTCTCAAGGAAACAAAAAGTGTGAGTAGATGGTGTCTAGAGATGTGGAAGAACCAGGAGCAGCCAGCGTGACTTCAGAGGAGACACTAGGAAAACAACATAACTTACTAGAGAGGAGACATGTTATTGCTGCTCTGGGAAGCCGACATCTGCACCTCCGTGTGGGATGATACAAACCTTACGTTGGATTCCTGAGCACAGAGAGGCCATGTGCAAGTGAGAGCTATACGCAGGCTTCTCAGCTTGAATAGAGCATGCTCCAAGCTAACAACTTGTCTAATACTATCATATGCACAGTAATGCAGGTTTTGATAACAATATCTACAACAATAAGAGCTTATCTCTCCTCAGAAAGTCACTGTGCAGAGCTGCCAGCCTTCACTGATGTCCTGTGGACTGTGAGCCTCTCCACCTTCCTAGGCATATGCAGGAAAAACTAATTTGAGTGAAATCATCTACTTAGCTTGCTTTCCCACCACTCTGCCTCCCCCTC